CTGCCTCCCTCTCTCCCTCCCAGATCCCCTCTCATTGTGCTGTTGAAGTGGTGCGTTGCTGGAAAGAGCGCTGTACTGGTTCTTTATATAACTGTGAAAGACAGCTCAGAGTGTACAGTGCATCAGTGCACTTCCACTCACAGTGGGAGGACTGTACTCGCCTCGGCACAGCGGCAGCAGCTATTCACTGTAATTATTTGAACACATTAAAGGGGCCAGCAACAGAGCTGTTTTGTTAAAGTATCAAGACCCGAGCACCTCGGTTTGTCACTGCCATGGCTGTGGCTGAGCTAATTTATCTGCTCTGTTTCAGCTCTGTCAGTTGGACCGAGGATGAGGAAAGTTTCATTAAAGGAAAAAAGATGGAGGGCCTCACTGTAATAAGTCTGGAGTGTGTAATGAAACCATCTCAGTGCTCCACCAAAACACTAGGGCTGACAGTTTAAGTCTTTTTAATGTATTTTTCGGAAATTCTATAACTTGTCTATGACTTTTAATATTACATCTCGTGGTTGATATTGAGACACCTGAAATCTTTTCAGGTAAGTTGTCAGATCTGACACGGTTCCCTCTTAAGACTTTATTCCATTGTATTCACAGATGTATCAATCAGTCCCAACCTTAACCCTACAAGCCTTGCATTGCCAAAACAGCTTTAACTTGTCAAGGCATAAGCTCCTCAAACCTCAGAAAATGTGTCATTCGCTGACAGATTGCGGTTGATCTTTTGAATCCTGCATGTGTCATTGTACATCCTCCAAAGTGTGCGGCTGGATCGGTTCAGAAAATACTGAAACAGAAGATTCCCCCCATACTGAGGTAAAATTCCATCTAAAAATGACCACATGCAAACCTTGGCTTCATCCCAGGCTCTTTGCTCTTAGCTGTTAGATAACTAGTGATTAACTCTCTGGGTATGGAAGAATGTTCATTAGCAATCAGGGTTGCAAGGGCGATGGAAATGCTTTAGTGGAAAAGATCAAACAGGAAATGGTGTTAAGCTGTTGATTATTTCCTTTGAATATCCCAGCCTAGGATATAATCAGCTGTAATTATTTGAAATTAGAGCGGGAAATATTTCCTGCTGTATGAATTATCATCGTGATGAGGGGCACGAGAGGGAAGCCCTGACATTGTGTTTCCGGAGAACATAATCAGTCATATTTTAGTGGTGTCACTGTCACTCAAACAGGGTGGGGTTTTAATTTCCTTTGTTTCTCTGCATCATATCCTGTTTGTGTTGCTATAAATTGAATAGCTTACTTGATCATTTGTGTTCCACATCAGAGAAAATCTTTGCCAACATGAGAGCGAGCCATTGTAGAGGGAGGAAAGAAAGCCAAAGAGACATTACTGGTGGAGACGAGGAGAGAGAAGCAAAGATATTTATAGTCAACTCAGTTCACTGGGATGCCTAAAGAAGACCTTTTCTTTTCCCTCATTCTCACTCATTCTACCTTTTTCTTTAGCTCTCATAGCCCTCTTTCTTATTCACATGTGCCTTTATAATGCAGCTTTTAGTTTTGTGAACAAAGAGGAAATAAATAAAGAGCGCTGTGTGTTAACGTTTGTGGGAGAAGATGTAGAGAAGTGTTCTACAAAGAAAAACCACAAATAGAGAAAACATCAGCGTCAACACTTTTGTTCTAAATCACGATGAAGATTAGAAGGCTTCCAGCAGGCGATGTTAATTAAGCGCAGGTGAAAGCATCTCATTTGTTGTGGCTGACATGCTGTCTGAACAAACAGACAATTAACAAATCTCTTACACTACCTTCACTTTTGCTTTTGTGAGTAAAACTTTGACTATAGGGATATATAACAATTCATGTCCATGTTCCCCCATGTGGTAATAAAATATATGGGGTTTGAGCCTATGTAGCTATTCAAGTTCCTGAGGTTTTTCACTAGAATTTGTTGATGATAATAGGTACTGGAAAACTGTTTCTTTGAGTTACAATAATTGTTGTTCAACTGGGTGGTCGAATGCTGAATTTTGAACTGATGGTAGGTCACTGGTACTTAATATCACAGGTCCATACATAAACCAATAATCACATACACACACACACACATATTCTTCGAGGCAATTTAAAGTCTCCAGTTAACCTAACATGCATTGTTTGGAGTGCAGGAGGAAGCCAAAGTACCCAGAGAGAAGCCACGCATACACAGGGGGTCGGACCGGGAGCCCTCTTGCTGTGAGGTGAAGGTGCTAACCATCACACCACTATGCAGTCCATGACCAGAGGTGTTAGAGGATGTTTTTTTAGACAGATTATGGAAGAAAGTCAAGTATCTTGAATTTTGGAAGAAAGAGTTAAGCTTGTCAAACTAACTGGCTGTATATTTGAAAAAAAGACTTGACTCACTGTGCATTTCTTGTAGCAGTATTTGTGTTCTGTGGTTAAAGAAAGATGAGGAGGTAACTTGTTAAAGAAAAAAATATTTCAATATTTATTTGCAGTATAAACATGTCTTGTGTTGTTTCCATACACTGTACAATACATAGGGTTGATCATATTTCTTTCAGTAGACAGAAAAGGTGAAACTGCCCCAGTTAACATGCCCCGTTTTTTTTTTGTCTTTTTGTTTGTTACACAGACAGATTGCATCTTTTAAAAAAGAAAAACTGTTTACAGCACAATACAAAACAGCTATTCAACGCGACTTAGAAGCTGTAACACGATGCAAGATGCATTGTCCGAAAAAAGGAAAGAAAAAAAAAATCCCTGAAAAATTCCTCACTGAGGTAACATTTTTTAATCATTCATTTTTTTTCTCTCGCTTTGCTTTTCACGCCTCCTCTCATGTGCCTGCACTCGTATGCGTCTTTCCCTCACGAGCACATTCTTACCAAGATGCACTGTCGCTACAAGTTTAAGGACACAGAAACGGCGTTCCTGTGATCTGGCAAAATTTACAAAGAAAAAGGCTTGATTTCTCCATCAATGTTCGAAAGACACAGAAACACAAGAAAGCAGCTTGAAATCAACCATATTCATTTTCAATTAGAAAAGCTCCATCCTGAATTATATTTCAATCCTTGGGTGCAAGGGATCAAGTCCTCCCTGTTGATTTTATTTACTCATTTTATTGTAAGTGGGATGTGAAAGTCCATTCAAGCGTGGTATTATTGTTTTAGTCTCTGATGCTATAATTAGAGAGGATCTTTGCATATAAATTCATGACGTATACATATACTGAGATATACAGTATATTCATATTGAAAGGCCACAGGAATAGCATAGAGCGCATCATATCAAAACATGACAGAAAAATACCTTCTAATTATCTAAGCTTGGTGGTGTAACTGTTGTCACAAAAACTGGCATGCTGGACCACAGCTCTGGCTGTCAGAAGGTGTGTGTGTGTGTGTGTGTGTGTTTTGGACACCCCAAGTGAAACGTTACCTCCGTCCACAAGCCACAGTTAAGCTGGATCTTGTATCATTTTAATTGAGTAGATACCATATAAAAGAAGATGAATTGTAAAAAGGTTGAGGTCTTAGATGTACAAAATACTGCAAAAAAAAGAAAAGGAAAGGTGTTCTAATATATTGCAGAGTAACAAAGAGGACCTCGTGTGACCCGTCACGGTAGAAAGACAGCTCGCCGTCCGTCAACGCCGTCTTATTCAAATGACAGAGAAACATTTTTCCACACAACATTTTTCTCAAGCGAGATACAAAGAGTATTGAACAGTCAGCATTAGAAACAAGTTAGAAACGTTATATAAGGCCAGCTAAAACCAACCGACGAATTCAGCTGCTGTGCCCGTTGACTCTCAGGCCTCGCTTTCTTTTTTTTTCTTTTTAGCCACTGTCCACATCTGCGCCGGGAAAACATTGAAGGCAGGGTGTCATTCTGAAAGCCTCAATGGATGGTTTCTCCTTTTAAGTGTGAAAGGGATGAAGTGGAACTTTACTGCGTGACAACAGAAGACATCTTTGCCACAAACGTACTGAAAAGCCTTTAAATAAATACTGTTTCTTGAACAGCTGCCTCAGCTTCGTAACACTGCCGAATTTCCAGTTTCAACTGTCGCTGACCTTCAACAGCAGCGTAACCGCAGGTCGATCCTTTTATTTCTCTACTCAGATTGTAGTAAAAGGCTTTTTTTTGCTTTGTTTTTCAGGTCCCTTTAAGTTAATACTGTCACTGGGGTGACATTTAAGTGCATGAGACCTGGAGTGGAAAACGCAGCTTTATTTGGCAATTTTGGGGCGTCTGCTTAAGGATCTGACCTTCGACGCTCTTTTTGTGTTCAAAGGAAAGAGAAGTTTCTACCATGGGGCCCAAAGTTTTCCTACACAGAGTTCTTCCTTTAACACCGTGTTCAATGTTTCCTGTGAGTGCGGCAAACGGGGACGATGCCTCAGAAAACAATATGAGGACGCTTCGATCAGCAGCAGCAGCAGTTTAAAATAAAAAACTGGTTTCAATTGCTGGACTTCCCATGTTCCGAGTAAAGCAACATCCAACCCATGGTTATGTCTACTGTTAGAGGGCAAACAGCACCACAGCATGCTCAGTTATAGAAAATATCCATTTGCTTAGTAGAGCTCTAGAATATATAAATTTGATATTTAGATTTGTTTAGCAATATTTCCTTCTTATGATATACCCAGGGCTTAAGGCTGAATCAACCCACACAAGACTTTCTTTGATGAAATGGGTGATTCCTCCAAGGAATTTAACCGTCTTCTACTGCCGTTAACGGACATGAAACTATAAGTAAGTGCAGTCTGTAATGGAGGCCAGTTCCAGTCAACAAAAGCAGAAATCCAAAAGCAGATGAAATGCTAGAAACGCCGTCTCTTGTCCCAGTGTTCCTGCCTCAAATATCCCCAACACACACACACACACACACACACACACTCACACACACACACACACGCCGCACTTCTTCACGAAACTCTAGCCTCTCTCCGAAGAAAAGACGGGAAAAAAGAAAGTAAAAGCTGGCAGAATCCAGTTTGGGATTCTCCCAAAACACGTTTGTGAGACAATTGTTGGGATGAAATCACCATGGAAGCTGAGAGTTGAGTTTTTAATTGAAATTAAACAAATGACTTAAACATTTGGAACAGCTGGTGGAAGTAACTGCTTCTTCCTTTACAGATGAGTGAGCAGTATTAAGGGGAAGGAGGAACTGGGTACTGCACTTAGATGCAGTTGGACAAATCCGCAGTCATGTTCTCACCCACCCCCAAACACGACTGGGCTGTGTCCTGTCTCCGGGCCTGACCCCTCCCTGTTCTGGAGCTCTGCTCAGGGCCCAGTTCCTGCTCCCTCCCCACTGCACTATGCAGCTGTCAGGACTTGTCGCAGCCTGGGACTGGCCTCTCCTCTGTCCACTCCTCCTCTCTGAATGTCTCTTTATCTGCCTGCTTCCAGCACTGGCTTCAAGTGCCAGCAAGTCAATGGCTACGCCACTGTGCAAACTGCATTAGGTCATTTAAAAAGAAAGAAAAAAAAGAAGAGAAAAGAAGAAGAAGAAACCCTCAACGCCCATTCCCTTTCTTTAGACCTACAATCTCTTAAGCCATCATTGGATTGAATTACTTTGTTTTTGGACAAAGATAAGATTTCTGTACGTATATATATTTATATAAGGTATAGATCTGTGCGTAAATGTACATAAAAATATACAAAAATGCATATAGACATACTGAATTTGCTAAGGACTGCTCATACATTTTCTGCTATGTTCGTTTACATACGTTTAACACGTACAGTACAAACATACATACTTTGTTTGTGTGTGCGAGTGTGTTAACTCCTTGGTTTTTTAAAAACTCATCTACATCCAGTAGAGTGAGATCTCCTATGACTACATCCCAGATACTCCGCTTGGCACCAGTCAGCTCAGCTTGTGAGCCGAGACAAAAAAGAGATAGAGAAAACGCTGTCATCTCTTTTTCCGTGTTCCTGTCTTTGTATGAAGCCGTCTGTCCTGCTGTGGCCATTCAGTTTCTCTCTCAGTGAAGTAAGTCCCCCCTTGTTCTTTGTTACGAGACAAGTTGCTCAGGGGATTTTATCCCAAGTTTCAGTCAACGCTGAGGACGACTCCATTGTAAACCCGCGTTTCCCCCCACTCTGGGAAAACAGAAACTTCCCTTGCATCCCCTTTAACATGGCATCCATGACGCCTCCGGTTGCTCCAGCGCTGCTCAGTGGACAGGCTTTCAGACCAGCCTCAGGAGGCAAAAACATTCATTAAAACCAGCTGCTCGCCTCCATCGCAGCAGCTCATTACCATGGTAACCACACCACCTTGACCACGAAAGTCTTCATTTTCATGTGGACTCCAAGGTGTCCAGCTGAAACACATTGTGATTGGTCGGGGTGGTGAAGAAGAGCTGCTCGTGCGGTGGCGAGGTCGAATGGTTGTCGCAGGGGCTGTTGAGGCCCAGCGTGCGCTCAAAGTCAAGGAGCTGGCCCATGAAGTTGAAGTTCGGGGAAATGTTGGACTTTTTCCTCTTGACAAAGTCGTAGGCGTCGTTGAGGGACAGGTTGAGTTTCTGCATCAGGTAGGCCACGGTGACGGTGACCGAGCGGCTGATGCCGGCCAGGCAGTGCACCAAGATGCCGCACTTTTTGGTGCGAGCCTCATCTGAGGAGGAGGCAAAAGGAGCAGAACACAAGAGAGGAAAACATAAGGATGAAAATCGAATTACTCTGAAGAACAAAAACTGTCTCGAGGTGAGTAAAATTCAACACAAGGCTCCATCTCTCTCCCTGAAAATTTAGGATCAGGTATAATGATTTTAAAGTGATGCAAATACTTTTTAGAAATCAACATACTGATGATAACCATGAGTCTTATTTCTTTAAACTGTACAGGAAACTGTATCAAAAAGAGAAATCCAGCCGCAGTTAAAAGCAACTATAATCAATAAATTGACACTGGATTGAGCATAGGATTGCATTAAAACCTAAAAAGTGGGGGGAGTTTTGGAGACAGTTAAGTGAAAATGAGCATTTTCTGTCCCTTTAAAGTCTAATAATCCTTCTCTGCAGATCTGAAGTGGAGCAGACTGCATTACTTTGCACTCTGGATTCTATCACTTTACTCTTTTATACAAGTTGTTCCCAACGGAGAGGTGAGGAGGAGTAGAGAGCATTCAACAAGATGTGTTTTCCTCTTCCCTATCATTTTAAACCGATGTCAAAATTGCATCAAGAGCTTTGTTAGGGCATCTTGTCCTAAGGATGGTATTCAGGAAAGCTTTTTTTAAAATGACAGAAAACTATTCCCAATCTGAACTGTGATTGGCCGTCATCTATTCGATTAACCTCAGTTTTAAAAAATGGAAAAAAAATAAAATGCATAAATTTGTACACATGAATCTGGTGTCGGCCATCTTGTTTGTATATATTACTCAACTTCTAAATGTCTACACTTTCATTACTAAATGGCCTTTCCCCATAACAGCAAACGGCACTATTTCACTGTTCCCCACCTCTCCATTTGGACCAGAACCTGAATAAGAAAGCATCCTGCATTATTAAGCAGCTGTGTCCGTCCACCTATCCGTTTCAAGCTTCTGCACTTGTATCTCTACAGGCCATTAGAGCGGAGTTAAGTGCTTCTTTCCTTCCTTTCGGCTCTCCCTGTCTTTCAACCTTTCCTCACTCTCTCCGCCTGCATCTCTTGTAGGATTGAGGTCAGTTGGCTCACGAGCTCAAGCTACCAAGCTGATTCTGAATTAAATTTATATGTGATGTGTACACACGTTCCACAAAAGAGAAAAAAAGAGGAAAGATAAACATCCGCGCTGGGAGACTCTACATGGCTTACAAACTGAATGAGTAACAAATACGTGATCTGCCCGAACTGATCTGTAGACTGAGCAGCATTACATCACACATACTTCAATACCCACTAATGTTAATGTCCTCCATTTCTCAAGCTGTGACAAAAAACGAAATATCCGCATTTTCTTGTGTACATGAAATACTATGTGCGAACAACAATTTTACACATTTAAGTAATTTACAACGTTCAGCAGACACGTTTGCGTCTCCTTTACTTAAGAATGCGATAAGCTCACTGTAACCGAAAAGAGCTGACGTAACACTACAGCTAACCAGAGAGCTCGATTCAGCATCAACATAACCTAAATCTGTCAAGACCCTTGGCTCTGGCATATGTCTCCCGAGCAGTATCATTACTCCCAAAAAACAAGGTGGTCTGGACAATCTGGTCAGGCTCTGACTCATCGGAGAGGGAATTCTCTGGGAATCATGTCAAAGTAGACAACGGGGATGAGGATCTTCAGCAGGACCCCGCTCCCAAACAATCTGTTTCTGTGTTCCATGTTATTTCTAATGAATGGCAGCTGCATCTCTACATCGATAGTTTAATTTGCTGCTTGAGAGCAACGTTTCTTTCTTTTTCTTTTCTCTCTTTTTTTTTAGTAATCACTCCCAAGCAAAACAACTAATCCCCTGCTGCCATGTGATATTGACTTTTGGTGATATATTTGCGCACGCCTACTCCTTCGGACTGTAGTTTGTCTGTGACATACATCACACATCCACTCACCAATAAATGATATGGCCTCAGGGAAAAACTGCGAGAGGTTCTGGCTCCAGTGGTCGGAGATCGGGATCTGTTTGTACTTGAAGTCTCCCTCGTGCTCGAACATGTTTGGCAGGTTAGGCGTTACGTTGAGGATGTACTTGATGTTGTATTTGCTGAGCACATCCAGGTTTGTGGAGTCTTTGGCACAGCCCAGGTAAAGGTACGGCAGGATCTGGACCGGGAACGCTGGCTGGTTGGAGGGCAGGGGGCTGCCGTCCGACTCCGTGGCGCTGCCCGGCTCGCGGTCGGACTCCCCATCCGAGCAGTCGGAGCTGATGCGCAGTCCTCCCAGGCCGAGGACGGAGGCTGGTGGCGAACTGCTGGGACACGAGCAGTCCAGATTGGTCTCGCAGTGTTCGGGGTACTCGGACTGGAACTTGTTGAAGCCCCCTGGAGGATAAGGAAAACACATGGGGATCAGTTTCTTGCCCAAGTGTACTATTACAGGTAGCGTGAGGTGCAGCTGGAGACGAAGGCAGCCACTTTTCAGCTGAAGGATAACCACTCTACTTCACAAACAACCACGAAGCCACGGCAGAAATGTAATTAGCTGCAGGGAAATCTGCTCTTCAAGTGGCAAAAGATGTCATTTCATATTTATAGCAACAGAATTGTGAATCCTGCAAGACACAGGAAAGAGAAGCATGAGCCTGAATGACAAGAAATGAGCCTTTAAGGATAGTTATGTAAGGGTTAGGCCTCAGACCTAAAATAGAAAGAAATAAAGAAAAAAGATGGCTATAGTAAAGTTAATAAAGTTGTTACAGAAAGTCAAAACCACTTCATTGAATTCATTTATCAGTGGCCTAATTTTTCATTCATTGAGGACTGAATTTGCATGATAAACAGCTCAGAGCTGGTGTTTTTTTTTTCTCTCCAGCTGAATGACAATGGAGAAAAATGCGCTTTGCAAAAGATATCTGGTTGTTCGAAGTCTCTATCAATAGAGCCCCTCCTCATAGATGTTTAATGTTAAGAATACAAATAAAAAATAAAAACCTTATGTCTACGTCAGTGCGAACATGAGAGCAGGCTGGACAGATGAGCTCCATTGAGAAAAGCTCAGCCCTGCGGAGAATCAGGACACTCCGCTCCGCTCCACCGCTACACAGCTCAGTGGAGTTTTTGTGAATGGCAGCTCGGATTGCGACGCCAGCTAAACATTTCCGCCTCTCTATGTGTCAAATGCGCCCATGTCCCGCGTTCCAGCCACAGACCACACACGTCCCATCTGGTTTTAATGGGCTTTTAACCTCGTTTTGTTTGTATATTCGAAGCGCGTCGTCGTGTCCTCGTTTTCTCGGTTCATTCATGAAAAAAAAAAAAACAACACACACGCACACACACGCACACACACGCACACACACATACACGCTCGTACACAAACCGCTGTCTTTTCCTCAAGGAGCACAACATGGCGGGGCCGTTTCGGCAGCTTTTAATTGGAAACACGCCGTAAAAGGACCCTGGCTGCGTGTAGCCAGAGCCAGCGAGGTTATATTTGTGGCCTTTCGAGTGAAAACACCTCGAGCTGATGGGCCTTCACGCGCGAGAGAGAGAGAACACGAAGGAACGGCTCGTGTCGCCAGTGCGAAACATCTGCCGAACTCAAAAGTTGAAGTGCATTTTTTCGCTTTGCCAGGTCACCGAAGAGTAAAACAACCGAGGCAAAGGCTGAAATGAGGTTTAAAGTTTATAAGCTTGACAAATCTTTACGTCCTGAATACCCCTTCAAACATGAAAGTAGTGGTCATATGTGACAAACCAGCATCCAGATAGGTGACATTACTAATTAGCCTAAATATCCACCTAACCATTTACACGTGTGTATCATACATACATACAGACATTCGGAGGGAGGAGAAAGAGGTACAGGCCGTTTCTTGAAGCTGAATGAGTTCCTTTAATTGGGCCAAAAGTTGACCACATAAGTTCAATTGACCTCCAGCTTGAGAGGAAGCGCGCGCGTGTTTTTTCTTAATGAACGACACGTCGAGGCGTCGCGAGCGAGCTTACCCTCCAGGTAGAAGGCTTTGCAGCCGTCGTCCCGCAGCTTGTGCAGCAGCAGCCCCATCACGGAGCTGCCCAGCCCGGACTCCGGCCGCTCGGACGTCGCCTCGTCGTACAGGAGCACCACGTCCGTCTTGCACCGCTTGACGAATTTCTCCTTGTCCTCGTTGTTGGGGATGATGGAGCGGATGGGCAGGTTGCCCTTCTTCAGCCTCCGGAGCATGAGGCCCGGGATGGCCAGGTTGATGGCCGACTCGACGTGCGAGGACTCGAACAGCTCGTGGGCTCTGCAGTCCAGCAGCAGCAGCGAGCCGGCCCCGGACTCCAGCTCGTCCTGCAGCCACTCCGCGCTCTTACTCGACATCATCGGAGTCACGATTACGGAGTCTATGCACAGATGGTTAATTTTCATCAGGAAAACGTTATTCCGCCTGTCCCCTTCCGTGGCATGTGAACAACATAACAGAGGGAGGAGGGGGGAAAGAGAAAATAAAAATCACGACGCTAAACTTCGCTTCCCGCGGCTGCTGCTGCTACCTCCTCCACCACCTCCTCCTCCACCACCGCTGCTCCGGCTCCCGCTGCTGCTCCCGCGGGCGCAAAGCACCCAACACACACCTCCGGCCGCACGCACGCGCGTCCCACGCGCACGCACCGACGTCTCTCCCGCCGGAGCAGGAAACTTGAACATGCAGAGGCTCCCTCGCTCGGTCCGGTGGAAGCGGAGGCTTCAGGCCAGTCCATCGACGTCCATTCAGCGAGTCCGGGTCCAACTTCGCAGATCCACCGAAATGGGTCCTCGGAAGCCTCGTGAAGCGCGAGTTTTTTTGTTGTTTTTTTTTTGGGGGGGGGGGGGGGGTGATCGCGTGATGCTAAAGCCGACGATGGCTGTTATTCGACATGCTGGCTGGAGGAGCGCCTCTGGTTTGTCATTTCCACTGGATGCGTTAAAGAAGCTCTGCGGGCTTGTCACTGAGGAGAGGGAGGAGCGCAGATTTAAAGGCGCAGAGCCGCAGAGGAACCGCACGAGCTGTCCTGACAGCTCCCGTTCATTCAGAAACTCAGCGGCACGGTCTAACTTTAAAGCCAATTAATCAAAACCCTGAATAGATCCACCTTATTCATCGTTCCTTACAACCACACAAGAGGCGTTTTTAGGACGCCTTAACCAATCTTAATAGCACAGTTCATTCATGTCCCTCTAGTTTTTTTTTGTTTGTTTTATGTTAATGGCTTAAGAATTAACACTTAGTTGATCAGTTTTTTTTTTATACTGCCCAGCATAATGACCAGGAATCAAAGTTCAATCCCATCCTACAATCTAAAATCTGACCTGGGTGACACGATGCGATTGGTGCAGTGAAAGAAAGCTTTGTAACTTCCTCACACAGCGTTGCAATGTACTCCATTTTTTATGATGACCATAAAACACATTGTGCAAAAACACCGTCATAAAGGTGTTAACTGTATGCTTTAGCAATGTGTGTCCACTCTGCTACAATACGCCAGTTTGTGTGTCCGGCTAAAGGGATGGGCCATAAGAACTTTGTAAACTGAGTGAAGATACACAGCGTTGCTTTGCTGTCATACTGGACTGCATCTAATTATGCACGTGTTAAGATACAGTGACCACCGATTGTGAGGTCACAGTTATCAGTTGTGGAGATAAAGTGCTTATCAGGAAGTGCATCACTCTGGGGTGACTCAGCTAGACCATGTGAAATGAGACCATTTTGAACAAACATTGCTTAAAAATGGTTATGTAGGATGTAAGTATAATATATTACATTGAACCAAATCAAGCCAACACAAAGACAACATATCAAATGGTAAAATACAGTATGCACATTTCATTTAAACATTTTTAAAGATTGTTCTGAAGGGTAAGTGCTTCTTTGTGTTGCAAGAATTGGTAAATGCAGAGGACCAAAAGCTGCAATTCTGAAAGTAAAATATGTCGAAAGAACTGATGAAGGCCTCCCACACGGTAACATCCATCACACTAAATATTCCTGTAGGTGACACATGTGAAATGCTCTGTCTTGCTGAAAAGAGCAATGTCTTCTATGAAATATAGTCGTATGAATGGCAGAAAGTGGGGCTGCAACATGTCTAGAACAATTACACAGTGGTGACCAATTCCAGTCCTGAGGAGCTGCTGTCCTGCAGGTTTCAGCAGTTTTCTCGCTTCAACACACCCACATTCGGATAAAAATGGATCTGTTCAAAATATTGTTTGGCACCGAACAAGCCTGCAAATGGCGCACTGACTAGTTTAATTAACCAGGTCATTTCCATTTCCATATGAGCACAGCGGAATATGTGCTCTACATATCCAGCAGCACACATAATCTCCAAGAAGAATCAACCTCAGCCAAATGCATAGTTAGGAACGCAATAACATTTCTTAGATTCAACATCAAATTTGTTTTATTTGCATAGTTATGTATTCTGAATTGAATTTACATTTTAGACTCAAGCTGGAAATGGAGCGGCCAGATCCTGGTGTGTTCCAGTAAATCAGGAAAAAAGAGGAAGTGTAATCTAGTCTTCTCAACGCCCTCACTCAGTGTGCCCACTCCATACACCTCCACACATTACACTCACAACAAACACATTCTCACTAAAAGCTGGCTTTGGGCACTTAGCTGAACAAATCACATAGCATGAAACATGATCACACTATTTTTTTTTTTTTTGTCGAATCACAAATTGGCATAACGCAACTTCTTACAAAGCATATTTGAGGGAAGTCCATATTGTTTAAGGAGCTTTTTCTAAACCGAAGCTGGATAATAATAAGATGAGTATGTTACACTATATTCCAGTCAGTATCCAGATTTAAAGAAATTATGAATATGATGAAAACTCAATTAGTTGAGTTTTCATGATGAAATATCTATGTAGATAGATCTTTTAATTCACAAATGACTATGTAGAAGTGTTCAGGGGATTTTTAAAGTTTGAGTAGTCATTTCTTATGGATCACAACAAATAATCATTGTTCTCTGAAGGGCATCTTTTGCCAGGCCTGGCTTTAAGGCATGGCGTCATGGCCATGTTGCATAGGATATTTCTCCATCCGTAACAGCCCGACGATGTGTCTACGACACTAAACAAACCATCTCCGCGTTTCGCCACCAATGACCTAATAAGGCATCAGCAGGTTGTGACAGAGGCCGAGAGGAGGAAAAGAGGAGCGTTTGATTTCCTCACAGCTGCAGAGAGGAGGAGTAGGGGATGCACCAGCTGCAGACAATGCCTCTTTATGCCCCCCCCCCAGCATCTTACACACACTCACACACACACGCACACACTCACAAACAAAATACAAATGCATGTACATAAACACACACTTAAACTTTGGAGCTCTTGTGTCCACTAACCCTCACAAACAACAGGCTCTCAGAGAGAGTGTGCATGGGTTTTTTTGTTTGTTTTTTTTGTCTACAACTGCCCCTTACTACCAAACAAAATTCCCATCACGTCATTTGTCATAATTCGTGAGTAAAATGCATTAAGACAACTATGTGATATATTATTATTGATGAAAGAGTTTTTTTTTTCTTTCGAAGACTGCCAAGAAGTGAAAGACAGAACAAATCCTGTCTCGTGTCTCATAACCATGAGACATGTTGTGTGAAAATAGTAAGGGGGCCGGCCTCTAAAAAACACTTTCGTTATCATTCAGCCATTGCATGCATCTACCATTCAACCTGCTTAGTGGTTGTTTTGGCGGTTACCCAAACCTGCAAATCAAGTTGGTCCGTGTTTGTTTAACTATTTCTTACAGAGTGTAGTCCTTTTTTAAAAATAAACAAATAGAGTAAACGATTCTGTGATGCCAGCGTGTCATAGAAGATGGTTACAAAAACACCATATTTAAAACTATACTATAAAATGTAGTAATATAGTTAAAGAACTGCTCTTTAAATGCAGGCCTAATTGTACCACAGCTTTAGCCTAAAGAAACGTTCAGAGTAGCAGATCCTTTTTCCAATGAAAACTACAAACATTATAGACATTAAAAATATAAAATAAAATATATAGATATGCAGAATTCCAAATGCAGAGCAGATCCAGTTAGATTGTAAGGTGTAATGTATGTTTCATGTTTCATTTAATTCGGAAAATGTTTATCTGATTTGGAGAAAGGGGAATCATACACAACAATTGAAAGGTGAATTATTTGGAAAATGTTAGAGTAAAAAAAGTGGGCTTTCTCCACTGTGTGGTAAGCTAATCGTATCAGCAGGGTCACCAGTGCTTTTTTGTTTTAAAACCCATGCTCTCCATTAAACTGATGAAAACTAAGTGTGCACACGTTTCGAGAAAATGTATTTCAATTGTTTCCTCAAAAAAGTGATTGGAACAACTTAGGGAAAAGCCTTTTTATCTCCAAACTCAGTTGTATTTGCTTAATAAGACTGTCCAGATAAGTGCGATTCATCATCATTATACAGGATTGACAGCCGTTTGCCTTAAATAAAACTATATTAGGAGGAAAAATGATCCTCTTTTGTTGTATATCTTGCCGTGGGCAGCTACCACCACATCATTTTCCCTCCTGAAATCCGGGGGAAAAAAACACCTCTGCACTTCAGATGGCGCTTTTCATTTGTGTCTGAGGTCTCCATAAGGCAGCAGACTGCAGTTTAAACCCACTCACCTCAATGATGGAGCAACGAGGCCACCCCTCTCCCACGCTAACACTGGCATTTCCTCTGCCGTTTCCTTTGCCCCCAAACATGACGGTTGTCTACACTTAAAAACAGGCCTGGAAAACAGATCAAGGATCATATCCTTCTCTGATCTTCCAATTCAACGTACTTAATAATCAGTCATGGGCAGGTCCTGAGATTAGTGCCTTTAGAGAGCATTAACCTTAACTGGACAGCTTTAGTCATGTCCTACGTTGTCGTGTTTTATTTTAACGACTGCTTCAACATCCTACAAACCATCTCTGTCAAAGTATTAACAGAATAAATTCACCCTCACAGGGACCAGACTGGTCCTGGAAATCCTTTGTTTCTCTTATTATTTTTGCTGATCCTGTCCCAGTTTTGCAAGAATTCAATACATTATTTGGAACATCATGACACAAATGGACAAAACACTTAATTACTCGAACATTTAGATCTGCAACCCAGTCTACTTTATCCATCTGATGTGCAGAATACACATACTGGCTGCCCACTGGCACAATTGTCAAAGCAGTGAGGAGAGTCATTGTATGTTATCTATGTCCTTGCCTCCTTATCTATTTGTCTTGCACACACACACACACACACACACACACACACCTCCAGCCTCACCCCTTTATATCACTGTGACAGCTCAGAGACAGGGCCATAAAGACGGGTGGTCAAAGGTGGCCAACTAACACACTGTTGACGCTCTCTACCTGCTGGGGGTGTTTTACCTTCTTTCTCTCTATTTCTGCTCAGCTTGTTCTTGATCAAGATGTTTTCTCTAACCCGGCGTTTCCAAGCCCCGGTCTTCAAAGCACACTGCCCGGCATGCTTTCCAAGTTTCCTCGCTCCAGCACACACGATTCCAATAAACAAGACAGCTCTTCAGCTCTTTTAGTTCTGCAGAGGAGAGTGATGAAGACCCAGTCATTGGAATCAGGTGTGCCGGAGCTGGGAAACTTGGAAAGCATGCCGGACAGTGTGCTTTGAGGAGCGGGGTTGGGAAGCACGGCTCTAACGGCTCAGCAGCACCACAAACAGCTATCTTGACAATATGAAAATGACTTCCAAACACTGCTATCACACAAATCCCCGAGGTCACTTCGAGGTGAATCTGAGAACGGTGTGATTTTCTCACATTTGACTGAGATTAAATATTTACGGCGACAACACTTGGATGTGAAGAT